TTCATAATACATCTTTCTTTTACATAAAAGCAAGAAAAAGAAATAGCTCATACAATTAAGAAGGGAATATAAGTAAAAGGAACAAACCGCTAAGTAGTCCAATCGGACTCCAAAGATCTTCCCTCGTCTAGCCATTTCGGACGGTAAGTAGTCACGCCTCCTAAGGTAGTTCCTCACGCATTCATTATAATTTTTTACCTTATGCTCATCGATGTCCCAACTTAGCTCTCGTAGAGCGACGAGCTTCCTTGGAGATCATCTTTGCTTGATTCTCTAGCATAGCTAAGTTTTTGTCTCATTCACTACTCACTTGAGCCAAGTGATTATGTATAGTGGCCCGAGTATGAGGAAAAATTAAACAACTCTCCTTTCGAGTGTCGATTCTCTTTCTTAAGTGTTGTGATCCGACTTTGTGCTTCCCCTACTTGCTTCATTGAACCTCAACGATTGCTCGTGAGCCTATTGACATTTGCCATTTCAGATTATCTTCTCTAAGCTTTTACATTTATGAACCTAGACTCCTTAACTCAAGCTCAATTTTTCTATCCAAAGACTCGTAACCTCTCTAACTTAGCACATTTTGCATCCAATTCCGTTTGAGCTTGCTCATAAATCGACTTCTAATGTTTTTTTCAGCAATTATGCTTTACCAAGTCTACAAGTCTTGCTCTAGATCTAGTATCTTTTTCTTATCCTTTCCTCTCATCCTCTTTTCATATGTTAAGTTGGTAGCTAGCTTCGCATTCTCCATCTTAATCATCTTTATTTTTTTATTAAGATCATGGTAGTCCGAGAAAGTCATTTCGGGAGGATTATCTCGTTTTTCTCCTTTTTTTATATGTTGGCTAGATGAGGTACTCAAAACTTATGGAGAGAGTGGTTTGCTTCCTCGAGGGGATTGAACGGTTTCGACCTTCTGGGGTTCAATCGGATCTATAACCACGATAGGGGTTAAAGGACCTAGATCGACTTGATGGTTAAGTATCAAAACTTGTCTATCTTGATCTTTGTTTGCTCGATGACCTAAATCTTTTGTCCTTGCAGCTTGTCAAGATGGATAAGTTTCATTAGTCGCTATCTCCCGACCATCTATTTTGCCACCCACCATACCACATGCTAACCAGTCTTCGGTGATACAACTCAAAAGAGAAAGTGAAGCTTCTTTTTTTTAAGTTTCCTTCAAAATTAGCTTTCTTGGAATGCCTTGTTCATAACCATGTTGCCTAGACACCATACTAAGAGCATAACCGATGTATCTTATTGACCTAACCGGGGGGCCTAAGGAAAAGTTCCATAATAAGCTAAATACGATACTTGATTTATCTAGATAGCCTTCAGGAGAATTGGAAATTTATGTAGTTGAGTAGCATAGCTCTCTATTGTTGTTTAGTATAGCTCTTTCATGGGGTGGTTATAAACTTCTTTAGAAATTCTTGATCCTTCTACCAAACAGAGTCAAAGATAAATCTACATACTTCCATATGACTAACCATCCATACACACAAGCAATTGTACACGGCACCTCATCCCATCTTTATCGGATCTTCGATAGTGATTCAATGACAGGATAGTCTCAACTAAAATTATAGCAATGAGGTTAAACGAGTTCTTTTCTACCTCGATGAAAACATTTACAAGCATCCAAACTAACCAATCCTACGGATGATGGAAATAAAATCAAACCAAAGATACACAAAGTTAAGACTCAAAATTTCTTCGAACTAGTGATGGGCTTTCTTAAGCTTTGTTTGAATATGTCTAACAAGGTCTCATGATGCCATCCCAATACCTTTGGCTTGTGCTCAACTCGGACTTACACCCGACCACTTTTTGATCCTATCAATCACTTCATCACATCGACGGTAAAGGTAGCCTTGATGCGAAAGATTTTCCAATTATAGTAACTCGGTGATACTCCTTTATTATAGGAGACATGTCTATGTTTTCCATAGTGAAGCATCGATGTGAAGGGTTCCATAGAGAGATGAGAGCCCTCAATATTGGCTTATGGACTGCTATCTCTATTAATGTAGCTAGGTTTTCGTATTCATGCTTGAACACCTATTTGTCATCGGTAGTCAAAAGTTCCTAGCATTCAAAGAGTTTGTTAGTGTCATTGATCATCCATTGCAGCTTGGTTATCGATTGATGGTTACTCCGAAATCCCTCTTGAAGGCAATCTCCCTCTACTTGTTGAAGGGTTTCGCATTCCGCTTGGAATACCGATGTCGACCCGAAATTTATTTGAGCTCTTTTGTCACCCATCCTAAAACATCATGACCAAAGTATTTTAGCCAAGGTTTTCAACATGTCCGACTTGCCCAAGTACATTAAGCGAGGAGAGATGGTCCTAAAGTTTGGTTCTAGCTATTACATAAGGGGGATAGGCTCTATCTAGGTCTCAAAAGGTACCTTCCAGCAGTAGTGAATCTTTAATAGAGTCACTAGGAATGTCCATAGTGATATTAGCAATCGAGAAAACTCATCAATTACCTATCGTCGATGGTAGCTAGCAAGAAGGCTTGAGGTTTCATGAGTGTTTACTTGAGGTGAAATCCATCTGGGCACCACTACTAGCTCTCTAGATCCTAAGGCAAATACAGATGATAGTTATAATTATACGAGTGTAGTGTGTGCGGACACAACTCCATATCTAGTCTCAAAAGTATGAAATAAAAGGCTAAAATTAAACAACCAAAACTACAAAGAAAAACAAACACAAACAACACACATATATACAAATATGCTTCCACAACATAACAATAAATAAACAATTAAATCACAATTGCTCAAAATAACTAGTTATGGCATAACAAACAACCGGAGATTCATAACATACACATTCAAAGCTTGACTCTAGTATGGCAAGTCCCTAGTGGAGTCGCCAATTCAGTCAACGTCGACCACCGCGAGCGGAGGTCGAAACAAGGAGTTGCCACCTAGCTAATCGAAGAAAACTAGAAAACCCTAAACATACCGGTCTATATGGATATCCGGATAAGTGGTGGGTTATGTATAGGGAATAGATGCCGTCACCACCATCCCGTCCTACCTAAGGTAGGTCGCATTGTTTGTCTATGAATATAAAAAACTAATTTTTATCATGTTATGCTTCTATGCTTATTTAAATGAGTTTATTTTGTAAAAGTATGAGACATGATGGTTTAGGTATAAAACAGGATAGTTTGGATGTTCGAGCCAATCCGAGCCAATACGTCCTACCTAAATGGGAAAAATATGAAAAATTAGAATTTTGGCTTGTCATTGGTGAACACGACCGTTATTAACAATAGGCACGTTTTTAAAGATAAATAATTTTTTATTGACATAAGCTATGAGTCACCAACGACTTCACTCACACAAGTGGGAAGCCACCAACGACTTCGAGTCATGCATTTAAGAAGCTATCATAACTTTGTCATAAAAGTGAAAAGTTATTGACAACTTCATGTCGCTCCGAGTGAGGAGCGAGATCACTATTTAAAAGGCACCGACGTCTTTGTCACATAAGTGGAAAGCCACTAACAACTTTGTTTCAAACAAACAAGCATCAAATAGAAAAAATTATTTTTGAAGCCACCTGGCGGCTTCATCACATAAATGGGAAGCCACCGATAGCGTCGTTTTGATGAAACAGGTAATGAGACATAGAAAACAAAAATTAGGAAATAATAAACAAAGATCGGGGAAAATAAGGATTAGACATGAGGCAAAATGATTTTGAAATCACTAATGGCTTTATTGTAGCATTGCAAACAACCATGAAAAGTCAATTGACACACAAAATTGAGATAAATTTTATATTTGGACAAACAAGCATAATAATAGAAAACATGGCATACTATTCCTTAATGATCTTTGCAATAATGTTTCATTTTGATCACATATATTTCATAAATCTTATGTTAACTATCACCATTTTAACCACATTCCAAGGCACACATTTATTTTCAAATTTTTATCACGTTTTCGTAAATGTCATGTTTTAAGATTTTTACCCAAAAGGTTCTTAAGTGTCGATGTTAGATTCGGAGACGATCCTACCCTCTTCGTTCCCAATGATAATTGAATATTCAATTAGCCAAAAAAGGAGGGTAACTACCGATCAAGAATGTAGGGTGTGAGTGCCGCTAGAGTAACAAAAAACTCCTCTCGTTACTCGGGTGAACACTCCAAAGTTACTATAAAATTTACAGAGTTCCTAAAAGCCCAAGGTAGCTTTTGTTGCTTATTTTTTTGTCAAAAAGAATCAACCAAATGCAACCTACAGCATCATATTATGGTCGCTAACAATCTAACATAAGAAAATCTTTTTAGCGTTTCTTATAATAATTTTTATTTCTTCTTTTTCAATAACTCCAAAAAAAGTGTCCTAAGGGTCTGTTTTGAGGGAGGGTTTGTAGCTATTTTGGTGGGTGTTTTGGAGGGTTTTTTTGGATGGTTTTGAAGCTAGTTTGGGGGTGTTTTTTGGCTACTTTGGTGACTTAAATTGGTTACCCGAAAGGGCTTCTCTATAAGAGTTTTTAGGGGGTATTGGTGGATGTTTTGGGTCTTGTTTTTAGGAAGTTTTGGGATGTACTTTGAGGGTTTCTTGGAGATATATTGAATCTGGATTGGGGGTGTTTCAGTGGCTGCTTTGGTGGTTCAAATGGGCTATCCAAAGGGATTGTAATATAAGGATTTTGGGGGGCTATTGGTAATAGTTATAGGATTGATTTTGGGGGGTTATTTTTGGTGGGTTTTAGGTCTATTTTAGGACTCATTTTGGGGATTTGGAGGAGGTGTTTGATGGCTATTTTAAGGGATGTATTTTTGGGCTATTTTTGGAGGTGTTTAGGCTGAGTTTAGGAAGGTGTTAGGCATGTTTAAGAGGGTTGTTGGACGTGTTTTGTAGGAGGGTTAAGGTCTGGTTGCTCGGAGGTGTAGGTGAGGTGGACAAATAGGTGTGTGGCATGGCTAGTTGTATGTGTGTGGCTTGCTAGTGGGTGTCGAAGTGAGCCATGGGCGAGAGGGAGTAAGTTGTAAAGGCCGGTGCGGCATGTGGCTTGGGCTAGAAGGCAATGAGCGGCGAGGCTAGGCATGTGTAGGGTCGTGTTAACGTGGTAGGCGAGTTAGAGGAAAGGGCTATATGGGGGCTATTATGGGCGAGAAGGGGCTGATTATGGAGGTTGTTATGAGTGAGAGGGAGAGGCTGGTAGTGGCATGGGAGGTTGCTATGCGGGAGCTTACGGATGAGAAGAGGCTAGCGAGGCCGGTGGTCGACGAGAGTGAGGAGGATGCCGGCATGCTAAGGGTCGTGTGCGTGTGTGTGTGGTAGGCGAGAGAGAGGTTGGCGAGGGAGCGGACTTGGGCGAGAGAGAGAGCTTAGGTTTTTTGGATGACGGTTGTCGTATGTGTTTTGTTTTTCTTTTTTTTTCATGGGTGATGATGAATAGTGCTTTATACCAAGAAATGCATACAAGCTTTTAGGTTTTTTTGGCAAAACTCCAATACAATCCTTGATTTTCCTCCATGCATTTACTTAGGTTCAATTTTTTTTTTTTTTGTATTTTAACTTAAGCCTCCCATTGTCAATAATTGGGACTTCTTATTTTAATTAGTTCCAATTGTACCCTTTTAATTTTTGAAAAAGAAATTGAAGTCGTGAATTCTTTAAGTAAGCCCCAAATTGTCTTTTTAATTATTTCCCACTCTTGATTTTTCTCAATTAACCCCCTCGCTAGAATTAATCTAAACTAGACTATTCTAATAGTTTTTTTTCTTTTTCTTTTTTTCTTTTTTTTTTTTGTTTTGTTTTGTTTTGTTTTTACTTTACTTTACTTTTACCCTTTTTTTTATTTTATTGGTATTTTCGTAATAACAAAAATAAATAAATAAATAAAGGGGAGCAAAAATTAGGTGTTAACAATAATAGTAGGAGATCTCACATCTATTGGCATGATGATGCTAAAGCAAGAACTTACGTGATTTATGTTAGAGAACATATCATTAGACTTGACTCGCCATGCGAAACCATTTGGTTTAGCCTATGAAAATCTCATACGAGATGGGTACAACCGATCCTTAGACTTAAGGTTATCATAGTTATCTCACTGTAAGGATTTATGTACTTTGACACTCGTTTTGATGGACCCGAGTACGGCGTTGTTGTAGGCAATTTATTGGGTATACTAGGAATCTAATAGAGTAGGTGAATGACTAAAATAGGACATGTCATTTCTTTTATACTCGAAGGAGTTATCATATTGCACTTTGATGAACGTTTACTCAAGAAATCTATGGCCATAGTAGGAGTACACCAATAAAACATAGTTGGATTACTCTACGATCTAAGAAATTTGAGAATAAAAGAAAACTTATGTGATCGTAATTGAACTAGACTAATAACCAAGTTTAAGATCACACTATGATAATTTAACATGATAACTGAATTGTATGGTAATCATGCTTATGAAAGGTAATAACGGATTAATCAATCCTTCTAGAGAATTGGATAGTCATGATGCCTTGCTAGATGCCAATATTGACTTATGTATCAAGAGACAAAATAGGTGTTTTTTGTTCTTGATATATTACTAACATATCTAGGAGCCTATTAAGTCACACGCTTAAGTTTAATTATTCATATGATTAAAGAGAAGCAAAGATATTGAAAAAAATTTCTAATTATGAAAGTTTTCTATTTTGGAAAGGGTTTTTGAAAATGAAAAGTTTCCTAAAATAAAAAGTTTTCTATTTTAGAAATTAGTTTTCTAATTTTTAAATTAGTTTTAAATTTAGAAGTAAATAACCTAAAATAGAAATGAGTTTCCTAATTTAAGTTAAAGAGTATTTTAAGAAATTGCTTCCTAATGTGGCCACCTAAAATTATCTAAATTTATTTATTTGGATAGTGTAATTAATTAATTGAGCCAAAATGATTTTATGCGAATAGGTTTAATTAAAAGCCTAAAGATATTTTTGTGAAAGGATAAACATGAACCTTATTGGATAAGGATGAATGTTTTATATATAAAGATCAAAAGCCCACATGTTAAATAACTCTTAATCCTTGGATAATTAGGAAGCAACAACTATGAGTCCTATTTAGGATAAGTTGCCATCCGTCCTTGTCCTTGGAGGATAAGGAAACTCTCCCTCTATAAATAGGAGGAGAGAGATGCGACAAGATATAAGGATTTTGAGAGAGATAGAGAATTTGGCAAAATCAATAGAAACTAGGGCATACGGCCAAGAAGAAAGAAAGGAAAAAATAGTTTTCTCCCAAAATCCCCTAGCATGCCACCTTTTCTCCCTCTCTCTTGGGTTGTCACAAAATTACTTAGATTGGATTTTTATAGGAAACACTAAACAAATCGGAAAAGCTGGAGCTAGCACTCTATCAATTTTAAGTGCTTCTTTATGGTTGCTTATGATCTTTCAATTAGTATCGAGCCTCTATTAAATCTTTAATTGTATGATTTATTAATTATGATTAACTACATCAAATTAGCTATGCCCGATTATAAATCATATATTTTTGGTATTTTATTTATAAAACTGAATTTTTGGTCAAAATCGATGGGGCACGCAAGGCTAATGTTGGACGTCGACACTCACGTGCACAACATGCCCCACCGGCCGGTTGCATGCTAAGCGCACTCGTACCGGGATGCCGGCCGTGGGTAAGCATGCACAAGTACGCCAAGTTGAGGGTTTGGGACCTTAAGGACCAAAAAGGTTTTAAATTTTAAATTTAGAGAAATTTTGATAAAGTTATAAAATGACCAAAACCATAGATTTATAATTTTTTTTATAAAAGAAGTGTGTTTTATTAGTATGCCATGTATCAATGTGATTGAAGCATGGTGAGTGGTATGGATGAGTCAACCTAATTGTATGAGTGAATGCTCGTAATGTTTTGGATAAATAGGACCTATTTATCCTACCTTCTCTATTATTTTATTGTATATCTCTTCTCATCTTACTTCCCTTGAATGTAACTCAAGGCTTCTTATTTCAAATAAATGTAAAAGTAGAAGATAAGAGTTAGAATAGATATAAGGAGAAGATACCAAGGAATGAAGATATTCATGAAGAATTTGTAATAATTTTTCACGTAGAAATTGACCCATTAGTCTCCTTATGGCTCGAGGGGGCTAGTACTAAAAATCATTATCATTCATCAGCTTCTTGAGTCATGCATGAGATGTATGTATGTTATGATATCAATATTAATAGGCATGTTAGGAGTAATATGATTATTGTTTATTATCTATGCTAGGATAAGACCAACCATATTAAATTCTTCATGTAAAATATTAAGTTAATTGCTTTCCAATGTTATGAGGTAAGAACTCTCTTGATTGTTGTTGGCTTATTGAGATAACTCAAAGTCACTTTTTCCTCGAGGGAAATAAATCATGGGCCATATGATGTCCTCGAATGTTGGGTCTAACTTAAATGAGTTATTAGGTATGTTGAGATAATTTAAGATTCAATAAGCTTATAAGCAAGGATTGGTATTCACATAAGATGTAATAAAGACAAGAAGTTGTCATACCAATAAAATTAGGAATTATATTAGATGTAATCGGTAAGGAGTTACCTACCTAATCCTTTATACATGACTTTTTAAGATAACTCAAGACTAATGCGTGTTAGAGGATGAGATCTTAACCCACTAAGAAAACAAATCAAAAAATTTTCTCGAGTCTTATATTGAAGGTTATAGAACTTGAAGAAAATAGTAGGAGCGAACATAGATTTTACTTCTTTAATTTTTATTTTATTTTATTTTATGCAATTGAATTAAACAAACCGTACGTTTTTCCATCCTATCAAATTGCATAGTATGAGTGGCAACACATCAATATGATCGATCATTGATGAAAGTAATACCTTTAATGGCATAAAATTTCTTGATTGAAAAATGAATTTAAGGATAGTCCTCTAACATGAGAAAATTCTCTATATGATAGAGAAAGCTCTCCCAACTGAGCCTTCTATGATTTAAGCTAAAGCTCATGAAGTATGGATCAAATATAGAGATAATGTGATCATTGCTCAAAGCATCATGCTTACTACTATGACTTTGGAGCATAGGCATCAACATAGAAACTCATAAGCTTTTGACATTTTAGCAAAGCTCAAAAGCTTATTTGTGGAGAATACTAGACATGAGTGCTATGAGATAGCAAAAAAGCTTTTTAGAGCTAGAATAGATAAGGGATCCAACATGGAAAAATATGTCACCGAAATGATAGGCTATATCGATAAACTGGCTAAGCTTAAAGTTAGAATGGATGCTGAATTATCCATTGACCTAGTATTGCAATCATTGACCAATAGCTTTGGGCGGTTCATCATGAACTACAATATGATGCACATGGAAAAGACACTTGGAGAGTTATTGTCTATGCTAAGTAAAGCTCAGCCCAAAATTAATAAGAAGAACAAAAGCTATGTACTTCTAGTTAATAAGGGAAAGGGCCCCGTAAAGGCTAAGAAAAATCTAAGAATAAGAAGAAGTCTTCAACTACACTTATTGAAGAAGTAAAAAAGGCCAAAGCATAGAATAGCCCAAAGGATGAAGTTTGATTTCATTGCAACAAGAAAGAGCATTGGAAGTGCAACTGTAAGGAATAGCTAAAAGGAGTACAAAAGAAGAGTTTTACCACCACCTTAGGTATTTTTGTTATTAATGTTAATCCTTTTATTTCTAAATTACACCTCATGAGTATATGATACTAGATATGGTGGTTACATTTTTAAAATGTATATGAGCTTAAAAAAAAAGATAGCTTCAAGAGAAAACATCTACATGACTACAATGGATCAAGAGTTGGACTATTAGATGTAGGTATTTATGAGCTAGCACTACCATATAGGAATGTGCTAAGACTCAATCATTATTATTTTAGTAGAGAATAAAGATCTTATTTCCATTTCGTTTATGAATAAGTATTTCATTTTTAAGAATAATGGTTATTTTTAAAGATGAGTTTTTATGAAAATATCTTGATAATGATTGTATGTTTTTGAACTTAACTCCTAAGTGTATAACATAAATACTAAAAGACTCAAATGATCTAAGTAACATTAATTAGTACCAACGTCAAAATTTTTCATATAAGCAAGAATCTCATATCCAACCTACCTATACAAAGGATATTTAGAATCATTTGATGAGTCTAAGGAATCTTGTTTTCGTGGAAAAGAGACATGAATCCCTTTTTAGTTGAAAAGCAAAAAGAGTTAATAATTAATATAGACTTTATACATAACGATGTATATGCGTTCACCCAAACAATAGGAGAACATGCTTGTCACATAACC